TTTTAAACTTACCACAAAGCTACAGTAAACAAGACAATGTGGTGCTGATGTAGGACAGGCACGTAGACCAATGGAACAGAACTGAGAATCCAAAAAGAAACCCTTACATTTACGGTCAATTGATTTTTGATAAATGTGCTAAGGTCATTCAATGAGGGAAAGCATAGTCTTTCCAATAAATGGTGCTGAGACAATTGGATAGTCACAGGCAAAAATAAATAAATAAATAAAAAGAAAAAGGATGCAGACACTAACCTCACAGTACACACGAAAATTAGCTCAAAATGGATCATAGCCAGTGTCTAAGTGAGATTATAAAGTTTTTAGAAGAAAACATAGGGAAAAAATACCATTGGATTAAGCAAAGAGTTCTTAGATATGACACCAAAAGCCTAATCCAGAAAAGAGAAAACTTTATCAAAATTAAAAATTTTCCTCTTCTAAAAGTCTCCATTTGGGAAATGAAAGGCAAGAAATAAACTGGAAGGAAAGTTTTGTAAATCAAACATCAGATAAAGGACTTGTAGTCAGAATATACAAATAACTCGTATAACTCAATAACAAGACAAACAACACAATTTAAAAATGTGCAAAAGATATGAATGGACACTTCAGCAAAGAAAAATAGGAAAAGCTAACAGACACATACTACTACGCCCCCCACTAGAATGGCTATAATTAAAGACAGACGGCAACCTGTGCTTGTGAGGATGTGGAGAAGTTAGAACCTTCATGCATGTGAGAATGAAAAATGGTAGAACCACTTTGGAAAAGAGGATGGCAGCTTCCTATAAAATTAAACACATGCTTACCATACATCCCAGCAATTTCTCATCTATACGTCCACACAAAGACTTACACATTAATGTTCATAGCAGAATTCTTCATTATACCCCAAACTGGAAACAACCCAAATGTCCATCAACTGATGAAGGACAAACACAATGTGCTATATCCATGCAATGGAACACTATTCAAGATTGAAAAGAAGCAAACTACTGATGCATGGGATAACACAGATAAACCTTAAAAACATTATTCTAAGTGAAAGAAGCCACTCACAAAATATTACATATTGTGTGATTCCATTTATATGATATGCCCAGAGAAGACAAATTTATAGATACAGAAAACAGATCAATGGTTGCCTGGGGTTGAAAGTGGGAGCAGGATTGACTGCAAATAGGCACAAAAAACCATTGTGTGGTGATGGAGATTTTCAAAAACTGGATTGTGATGATTATACAATTATATACATTTACTAAAAATCATTGACTTGTACACTTACAATAGGTGAATTTTCTACTACATAAATTATACTGGAAGCTTCTTAAAAACAAGTAAATCTTCTTATATACCTCAATAAAGCTTTTTTTTTTTTAAGAAGTGATATGGCTTGGACCATAAATCTCAGAGGAGAGGGGGTAAGAAGTGACAGATGGTAGAAGCCATCACACTAATGGGCAGGTCAAATAGGGAGCTGAGAGTCTTGATCTAGAGTCTCTACCTGGGTCAATATACCCATAAAAACAATACTTGGGCTTCAACTTCCCATCATGGACCATTACTGCAGATCGTTGTTTCTTAGGAAATCCTGCAGAGATATAAGAGAATATTTGCATTTATATATCATGAAGACCCTTGGCACAGAGGCCACCCCCATTTCTATTGCCGAGGGCCCCAGGCCTGTACCTGAGTAAGCGATCACTTGAAATGCACTCAGTTCTCCTTGGACTGTAATGCTTTTCACCTGGAAGTCCAGAAGATGGCTCTAGGTGGGGCATGTGAGGCAGTGTTGAAGGTGGAGGACTTCAGAGTCCTGTCAGAAGTCCAGTGAGGAAAGATATATTATTTTCTATAAGTCATTACAAGGTAACTCAGTCTGTCCAAGGGCATCTCACTCATACCAAAGTCCTTACAGGGGCCCTACGTGATTCATCCCCCATCACCTCTCTGACCTCGTCTCAATACTATGCCCTCTCTCACTCTGCTCCAGCCACTTCCTTCTCCTTGGTGTTCCCCAAACTCACCAGGCGTGTCCTGTCTCAGGGCATTTGCACTGGCTGTTTCCTCTTCTTGGGATGCTTTTCTCCAAATACCCATATACTAACTCTCTCACTTTCTTCAAGCTTTTCCTCAAAAATCACTATTTCAGTGAGACCTTCTCTGGTCATCCTATTTAAAATCGTACCCTCAACTCTCCCAGCCCCCCTTCCCTGCTTTATTTCCTCCATATTTTTTATCACCATCTGACACACTACATATTTTTCTTTTATATCTTTTTTTAGTGCTTATCTTGTGACAATGCTTGTCATTTAGTAGGCCATCAATACATACTGAATGAATGAACAGCTGACAAGCAGGGGACAGAAAAGCAGCTATGGGTGGAGCTCCAGCTCGGCATCTGTTCCAGGGCACTCCGGGTGTAGCCCGAGAGGTGGTTTAACCCAAATCACTTCCTAGGCTCAGGAAGCTTTGCTCCCTCACCACCGCACGCATCCCATTTTTTCATCCCTTTGGCAAAGCTTCACCACATCTCATGCCAATGTGTTTCAATGGGAGACCAGGAAACATTTTCACCCCATCCTTCCCCATCTTAACTTCTTATTAAAGCTCACTCAAAACGAGTTGGTCGGAGATGCCTCCTGGGACTGACACCATTTGCCTGGCTCCTGCTATTCTGATTGCCACATTTTTCACTTTGTCTTTTGAATGGTGTTCCATTCTCTTGCATTTCTGACTGATAGAATGGAATGTCTCTGACTTGCCACCTTCTTCTAACACCTCAGCAAGCAAAAGCATGACAAAAACATTTTAAACCACATGAGCATTAGTAGGAGAATGGTTTTCTCCTGTCTCCCATTGCCTTTGTAGTCCATCCCGTTGCTCCATCCAGCCCCCCGGTGTTTGCAGCTGCACTTGGCCTGACAGTCCACCACGGCCTGCTGGGGACCATCTATAATGCTGAGATCTTTGTCTCATCCACAGTCTCTCACCCTGTGCAAAAATCTTTGGAGACCGGTTTCCCATTACATTTTTAAAAGGCAAATAAAGAAAGAAAAAGAACAACACTAATGTAAAATTCCCATATTTCTGTTTCATCAGCAGTATCTAGCTTTTTAAATTTTTGTTTATTGCATATGCTCTCCCAACAATTACATACACATACATTCATTTTCACTTTCCTTGCTTTCTTGTATATATTTAATTTCCAATCCTAAATTTGGAGCTGAATTCGGTATTCCATTTATGAGTGTCATCACATCACAGAAGACATCATGTCTTCCTGAGCTCATTCATCATGCCTCCTCCTCTCTCAGCATCATTTTAAATATACAAAGTCTCATCACCAGTTTTGCCATCCCAGCAACAGTCAGAGCTGCCCTTCTCTGCAAAAGGAAATAAGGAAAATGTTGCAGGAATATGATGTTAAGATACAGTCCTCCTTGGAATCATGCATTCATTCATTTCTCATGTATCTAGAAAATTTTTACTAAATTTCTAATATGCAAAGATCACTGTGGAGGTGCTTCAAGGAATGCTAAGATATAAAATACACTCTTTACCTTTAAGGAATTTGTTGGCAAGTAGTGGAGATAAGAGTTATGAAAGAAAAGAGCAGCAGATGATAAATGCTGAAGCCCTCAGTGGAGGCTTCAAAGGAGAGCAAGCTCACTTCCAGCTGGCCTCATCAGAGAAGGTATCATGAAGGCAATGGCTTGGTGGTGGCATTTGAAGTGGGTGTCAGAGGATGAGTAAGACTTTGGAAAATAGAGAAAGGGAGGCAAAGGAGTTCTAGGGGGAGTGGCAGCATGAACAAAACCATGGAAACGGAAGAGCTTAACCCACTTAAAAAATTAGCACAGGAACTAAATAGGCATTTCTCAAAGGAAGATATGCCAATGGCCAATGGACATATGAAAAAATGCTCGACATCACTCAGCATCAGGGAAATGCAAATCAAAACCACACTGAGACATCATCTCGCCCCAGTTAGACTGGTAATGTAAAAAAGACAGAGAATAACAAATGCTGGTGAGGATGGAGGGAAAGGGAAGCCCTCCTACAGTGTTGGTGGGACTGTAACTTGGTGCAGCCATTATGGAAAATGGTATGGAGGTTCTTCAGACAACTACAGATAGATCTACCATGTGATCCAGAAATCCTGCTGCTGGGTGTATACCCCAAAGGATTGGAAATCATCATGTTGAAGGGATCCCCGCACTCCCATGTTTATCACAGCCCTATTTACAATAGCTAAGAGCTGGAACCAACCTAAACGTCCATTGTCAGATGACCGGATAAGGAAAATGTGGTATATTTACACAAATGAATGCTACCCTGCCATAAAAAAGAATGAAATCCTGCCATTTGCAGCAACGTGGATGAACTCAGAGAAAATTATGTTAAGGGAAATAAGACAGACACAGAAAGAGAAATACCACATGTTGTGTCTCATAAGTGGGAGCTAAAAAAATAAACAAATAAATAATAAAAAGAAAGAAAAATACAGCAATCACAATAATACACTGAACTTTGAAAAGGAGGGAGCAGAACTGAGGTTACCAGAGGTAGAAAAAGGGGGGTGGGGGGAAGCAAGGAATCGATAAAGGGCCACGAAAAATGATAACATGGTATAATATTGAATACACTGATTATCCTGATCTGAGACTCACATATTGCACACAGGTATTGATATGCAACTCTGTAGCCCACAGACATGTACAATCAATTATGTTTCAATCTTTTTAAAAATTGTGTTTTGAAGACAAGAAGACAAGACCACCATCACGATCAGGATCATCTCCATTAGAGCACCAGAAAGCAGAGCAGCAACCCAGATTCCCAAACCCTACCCAGAGACTCTGCCGCAACGCTCTTCCCACTTCTCTCTGTAGGGCCAGCTCCTTCTCATACCTTCAACTCTGCAGTTACATGTCACCTTCTCCAAAAGGTCCTTCTCTGACCACCACATCTACAGTAGGACCCCTTTCTGCCAGTGCTCTCTCTCTCAGCCTCCCTCTTTTAAATCATAACATGTATCATAGTTTGTAATCATTATGTCGATATGTTTGTTTACTTGTCTGACTCCAACAATAGCATCTAAAGTCTCTGATAACAGAGACCATGTCTATTTGCTAGCGCCTGAAAAATCGTAGGAGTGCAATTAATATCTGTTGACTGAATAAACTAATAGTTGCTTTATGAATGAACATTATGAATGAAAGTCAGTTTTTTTAAGAGAGAGCTTGATGCTTTTATTTTATTATTTATTTATTTGAAATTTAGTAAGTGCATGCTTTATTACTTGTCTTTAAATCTTTCACCAAAGTTCACTTACTAAATTTATATTCTATGAGGGAACCTCAAAAAGTTCATGGAAACATTTATATTATCTTTTAATTCTATTTTTCCACGAACTTTCTGAAATACTGTCATGTATGATAGGGGAAAGTCACATTATGGGCCCTAAGGCACTTTTGCTTTCATGGGCTTTTTCATCCAAAGAAAAATATTAAAAATTATGTTTTATAACTGTGTTGGTATAAATATAAATATCATCTAATTTGGATTATATTCATTTTTTTTCTTTTGGTTTTAAAAGAAATTAAAGGGCCGGCCCGTGGCTCACTCGGGAGAGTGCAGTGCTGATAACACCAAGGCCACGGGTTCGGATCCCATATAGGGATGGCTGGTTCGCTCACTGGGTGAGCGTGGTGCTGACAACACCAAGTCAAGGGTTAAGATCCCCTTACCGGTCATCTTTAAAAAAAAAAAAAGAAAGAAAGAAAGAAATTAAAACATCATGGACCTCTCGGCATTGTGGGACCTAGGTACTGTGCCTCCTGTACCTAATGAATAAGTCAGCCCTGTGAATAGCAAAAATTTTTTTTAAAGAATTAATAGGAAACAAGGCTAGACAGATAATATGGAATGAGATTTTGGAAGGTCTTGTACATCAGATTTTGAGTTTAGGACATTTGAACTTTATTTAGTAGGCAACAAAAAACATGGAGAGCGTTTGAACTAAAGAATGATATGGTTTCAATACGCCAGAGCCATTGCAGGAAGAAGAGGCTGAAGGTGAAGCAGGAAGGTTCCAGAATGTGGTCCAGACACCATGAGATGAAAGGGGATCTGAACTGCGGTGGTGACAATGAGCGGGTATTAGAAGAGCAAAGGCAGGTCTGAGAGAACTTGTGAATGTCTTTCACAGCTGACTATTTAGAGAGGGCACATTTGAAGATGGCTGTGGTTCTGAGCTTAGATTTGGAGAATGGTGTGCTCATAACAGGAATAGTGTCATCAGGAGAAGACAGGCTTGGTGGGGAACATGGGTTAGGTCTGCGATATGTTTGGGGGAAGGTGTATGTCTGTTTTGTGTTGCTATAACAGGATATCTAAACTGGGTAATTTATAAAGAACAGAGGTTTATTTGGCTTACGATTCTGGGACAGCTGTATCTGGTGCAGGCCTCAGGCTGCTTCTACTCATGGCCAGTGGGTACGAGCAGATCACATGGCAGGAAGAACAAGAGAGAGAGAGAGCAGGGAGGTGCCAGGGTCTTTTAAACAACAAGCTCTTGAGGGAACTAATAGAGCGAGAACTCACTCACTACTCCCACCCCCCCAGGGAGAGCATTAATCCATTCCTAAGGGATCCTCCCCATGACTCAGTTTCCAACACTGCCACATTGGGGATCACATTTCCACAAGTTCTGGGAGGACAATACATCCAAACTCCATCAGAAGGGGTGCTAGCAGAANGCCCCCCGGTGTTTGCAGCTGCACTTGGCCTGACAGTCCACCACGGCCTGCTGGGGACCATATATAAGGCTGAGATCTTTGTCTCACCCACAGTCTCTCACCCTGTGCAAAAATCTTTGGAGATTGGTTTCCCGTTAAATTTTTAAAAGGCAAATAAAGAAAGAAAAAGAACAACACTAATGTAAATTTCCCACATTTCTGTTCCATCAGCAGTATCTAGCTTTTTAAATTTTTGTTTATTGCATGTGCTCTCCCAACAATTACACACACATACATTCATTTTCAATTTCCTTGCTTTCTTGTATATATTTAATTTCCAATCCTAAATTTGGAGCTGAATTCGGTAT